TGTCTTGTGTTCACCAAATTATCTGGCAACTCCATTCCATAATGCAGTTTCTGATGTAAATTAGGAAAATAAACAGTTGCTGTTTGCAATTTCAGTTCTAGTTTTGGTAGATTATATGGCTATCTAACATTAACACTTGATAATTTCTTTTTATATTATTTATTAAGGTTTAAAGGAGCTTTGAACAGACAACACTGGTTTGGATTTGTAAAGCTCATACCTGTGTTTAAAAGTAAGGTTTCTAAGCTTGTCTAGAAGCTACCAGAGTACCAGGCTAAAACTCGCTGGATATCTCATAAATCTACACATCCAACAAGTAGCAGTAATAGGTCAAAATAAGTCTTCTGAGTTATGTATCACACTTTATAAAAGTCTGCACCGACAGCATGCTTCAAAGGATTATTTGCCACGTGACTGGCTATGGTTATCACATGTTGATAGGCTCCACATGAGTCGTCTTGGAGCCGACCACTTGCCTCCCCTGGTAATTTTACAGGCATTCAATGCAGTGTGGATTTAATCATTTACGAAAAATGGATGAATTTTGAATGTCTGTTTATTGAATTTAGAGAGTGAAAAACTTTGACAAGTACATATTAATTATTTGTTTTCCATGTTTTTGGCAATATGTGTGGGTTTAATTTTGGATTCTAATTGGTTCACATTATTATTTTTCTAGAAAGTCTTGACATTTGTAAAAGGTTCATGTTTTGTGATTGTAGATTGTAAAAACGTTGAAACTATCAGAATCAACAACAAAGTTGAATCGAGAATTGAAGAAAAAGATCAAATGGGAAAACTAGAGAGAAAATAAGGGTTGCGACTACATGAGACTCTTTTATACTCGCACATTATGACAAGAGTTGTCAAATATCTAATGACACTTTATATAAAATAGAAGTACAACTAATGAAACTGAATGTACAACTCTATTACCCCTCAAGTGGAACATGTATGTTAGGCAAGCTCAACTTGGAGAGTGGGTCTTGAAGAGGGGGCTTGGTAGTGTTTTTGTTAGGAAATCAACTAATTGTTCTCATGTGGGAATGTGTTGAAGTTTAAACAGTCCTTGAGCTATCTTTACTCTTATTAAGTGGCAATTCAACTCAATGTGTTTTGTTCTCTCATGAAAAACTTTGGATGCCATGACTAGTGCTAATTTGCTGTCTGTAAACAAAGAGAGAGGTGTAGTAAGTGGAATATGTAATTCACTGCAAAGAGATAATAGCCATTGTATTTCACAAGTTGTATATGCAAAGGCCCTATATTCAGCCTCTGCATATGACCTACTTATAGTTGGTTGTTTTTTCGATTTTCAAGGAATAAGTGAATCACCAAGAAAATTAAGTAACCAATTATACTTTTTCTAGTATCACCACATGAGGCTCAATCACTGTCAGAATATGCTATAATCTGTAATTTGGGAGATTCGGGAAATAATATACCTTGTCCAATTGTGCCTTTGACCTACCTTAGTATTCTTTATGCTGACTGAAAATGCTGCTGAGTGGGAGTAGACATAAATTGACTCAAAGACGGAATAGAGTATGTAATATCAGGCCTGCTTATAATCAAATATAATAGTCTACCTACAAGCCTTTTATATTCAGAGGGATTGTCAAGAACAGGGGTATTATCATTGTTGCTAAGTTTCAGAGATGCATCCATAGGAGTTATGGTTGGTTCTCTAGCTAGTAAACCAATATCATTTAGTATATCTAAAGCATACTTTCTTTGGCACATATATATGCCTTGTTCAGATTGTGCAAATTCAAGACTTAGAACGTTCTTAAGCTTTCTTAAATTCTTTATTGTGAAACAAATGTCAAAATGTGTCTTAATAGCATTTATCAATATACAGGCTCCTGAGCTCGTATGGAAGGGCGGGAACCTTTCGTCTAATTCGAGTTGATCCAGATCTGCCTTTGGTGTCGCGCTTGCATCTCACCGGCGTGTGTTGTCTGGTGATGGTTCTCGAAGCATATTCATTTAATAGGGTGCGTATCGATCCTTCTTCTGCGCTTTAAAAGACGCGCTGCTTTAATTTATGGATGACGTGTTTCTTCATCCGACGGTTGATCTTGCTTTCAAAATCCAAATTTATGGTGGGTGGTTTCTTGTTAAATTACCTCCTAGGATGGTTTTAATGACTGAACGTGTCCCTTATGAAAAGGGTGATTTCCTCACTTGGTGATATAGTCACTTTCACCAAGATCTTATGTTACCTTTTCTTCTTCGGCTTGCCATATTTTTTTGTTTTTCTTTGCCAATTTACTTTGTTCCGCCTTTCGGCGATGGCTTGATGGTTGTTCATCAACCGTCGTTGCCACATGTGATGAGTGATTTAAACCCGAACGGAGGCTTAAACTCGGGCTCCGGTGGCAGGACATAAATGGATCTTACAAGAACTGCGCTGTGGATAAATCTTTACCGCCGTTAATAGTTGGATGCGGTCCGGAGCTGTTACCATACCGAATTGATCGTGAAGGAAGTAGCGATCATGATGAGCGACTTCTGGATCCGACCTGTATGGGAACGAGGGGTGGGTAATTGGCGACTGAACTCAGTCTTCGGGAGTCCGGATTCGTTTACGTCAGATGGAGGTTCTGATCATGATTTGTACCTTGGCTCGTTTGGTCGGACGTCGGCTTCGATCGGAATTCGTTTATGGATACATCTGGGTGGGGCGAAAGCTTCGGTGGGAGACCGTTTGGCGTCCCCTTTATGGCGGACAAAGACTTTGACTGTCTTCTCTCCATCCTCGAAGACTAGAAAATATCTGAAGCCAATTGAGCATCATTGTGTGAATATCGGCCATCCTTTCTGTGGTCGGGTTCTGCCGAGCTCGGGTTTTCCTTTTT